CGGATACTAGCTAAACGATGGGTGCTCATAACGTTGCCGGTTAGCTGTGGCACAGGTATCCATCATAAGATGGCATCCTCGGAGGATGTCATGTAGAACTACCCAGAAGGATACTCCTCAGAGCACAAAAACAACTAGACTGCTCGTTCAAATTTCTGCAGCGAAATGGTGAGAGCTCAACTGAGATGTTCGTCCCAGAAGGTGGGACTCCAATGTGAAGAAGCGAATGAAGTATCTGGCCGCCTTGCTCATTAAGCAGTCATGTCGAAGCGGAGTGCCGACGTACTAGGTAATTGGAGAGGACATCAAAGACGTCTAAAACCCTGTTCTTCATGGTTTTAAAAGCAGGACACAGAAAAGGACAGTGATGGGGGCTCCCTCTCGAGTTGATTTATCATGGGACATCCGTCAACACCTACTCCGAGAGCCTCGAAGCGATTGCAACACGATGACCCTTAGAAGCGCTTGCCTTATTGAATTTTTTTAAATATTTTTCTGTTCACAGTTAACCCATAAAGAAAGGCTGGAAGTTTGGTATACCGATGTGTGAGATAGCTGTATAGTATATGCACTTAACTGACACAGGTGGTTGAGGCTAAATAATCTTAATGGCAAAGCCATCGATTTGTTTTTGTAAGGGCGCCTAAGTGTCCTAGTTGCGACAGTCCTACCTTGTGGCATGTATCTAGCTTAAGTTCCAAGTAACGGAAGAGTGCGTTTCACCGTCAAGGAAGTGAATTGCTTTAAGTGCATCCAAGTGCTGCATAAATGAGAGACCTAATGACAGATTGGTAACAGTCTTCGATTCTACTCACAACGTGGCAAACCGTCTGCCAGTTTCGTCAATAAAGTTGGCTTAGCGACAAAAATAGTCGATTTGGTAAATCACATCGGATTTCTGACAGCTCTTGTGCTTTAACTCGCCATTCGAAGGAAGGACAAGCTATGCTTGGTCGCCTCCCACGCATCCTCGCCAGGGCACGACTACGACTTTGAATGCATGAAAAGACTAGGCCAGTCAGACGACCGAACTTCACGCCTGCTGCAGGAAGCATGGCACTCCTAATAATAGTAATAGGCATATCGATCTCTTGGATGTCTACCTCGCGTTGCGCGAACAACGGCAGAGCTCAACGTCACTCCCAGTGGAGCTGAGCTACTGATTACGCAATGAGCTGTATACTTTTTTTAATGCCTTGACAATGGGCTCGCGTGAGAGTGCGAAACGTCAAGCAAATAAAAACTGGTCCCCGACAACGTTATCTGCCTTCCACACGCATATTGTACATTTTAATGCGGTTGCTTGGCAAGCGTCAAAGAGGGAGAAAGCACGTATGTAAGCGGATTCCATGCACCACACAAC